CCCCATCCCTGCCTGGCTCTCAGAGTCTAGGGTTGGAGTTGCCCTGGTACCACTTGTGCCAGGTGTATACCCTGGTACCATTTCTCCTGCCACATGGGTAAGGGGGCCTGATCAGACTGGGGAGAGCATTGACAGGGGAGGCAGGCAGACCCTGCTGGGCTGTGTACCTCAGTTTTCTCCATTTTAAACAGGAGATTATTAATCTTTGCTACCTTGCAGCAGAGATGATGTGGGTGGTAAAATGCTCAGTTCTGTGCTTGGCACTTACTAAAAATTATTTCCTGCTTTCCTTCCGCTTACCCATCTGACCACGGTCTCACGAGAGCTTCTTGGGGTGTTCAGGAAGGGGCTCCCACTTTCTTGGCCACGGAATCCATTCCTCTGTGATGGGTTTTGGGGAGGGAGTAGGCTGGAGACCCCCTTGATGATGGGGATGAGTTGTGGCAACTGATCAGCTCTCATTTCCCTCCCCCTTCTGCCTGGCAGGAGGCAGACTTGAGACGGACTGTGGAGGAGAGCAGCCGCATCCAGAGGGGATATGGCCACTACTTTGACCTCAGCTTGGTCAACAGTAACCTGGAAAGGACCTTCCGGGAGCTCCAGGCTGCCATGGAGAAGCTGCGCACGGAGCCCCAGTGGGTGCCTGTCAGCTGGGTGTACTGAACCTCCACCTGGACCTTGTTCCCCCTGAGCAGTGACCCAGAACCTAAAACCACCCCTTCCCCACCTATGACCCCCAGCCACGATCCTCAGCTCCCGTCCTTGGTCTCTGACTTTCCCCAGATAACAGCTCCCAGCGGGCCCTAAGCCTGGCTTCGGCGCAGAGGCGAGCACTGCCAGGGAGGTGGGTGTTCATGGGGCACCTCTGTGCCCAGGTGCTGCCCACTCCCAATGTCCATTGGCCACCAGATATCCCTCTCTAGGGGCCAAGCTGTGCCCAGGAGTGTGTTAGAACAACCTCCATATTGCTTAGTCTAGAGAATAGAAAAGTCGATTGGAACCAATTGGCCGTAGGTACATTGCCCCCTGTCACCCCTGGGCACCTTTGCTCCTCTGGTCTAGTCACACCTCTCCTATTCTTGGGCTTCTCCCATTTCTCACCCCTAGTCCTAGGAGCCGGCCTTGGGCTGTTCCCAAGTGGCCAGGGGAGCCACTGGCAGCCAGGCAGGCCTGGGCAGTGGTGCCAGTCGGGGCCATCGTGGAGGCTGGAGGAGCCAAAATGTGAGCCAAAATGTGAGCCAGTGGCCGCAGCTGGGCCACACACTCTCAGCTCCCTTAGAAAAGGGTAGGGTCCCAGGAGGGGATGCTGCCCTGTCCCCCCCTCATCCACAGCTTCTCACTGCCGAGGTCTCTCCACAGACTTCTCCAATGTCCTCCTGGCAGGTCTGCCCTGCTCCCCAAAGTGCAAGGCTGGCAGGGGCCGCAGGCTCAGCCCAGATTGCAGGGGAGGGGTTGGTGAAGGACTGGACCCCATGACAAGGAGCCTGCTCTACTCCCCGTGGCCCAAGGCAGGGACACATTGTGATCGCTGTCCACGACCTCTTCCCATTTTGGTCTCTTTCTGGCTGGGCCCAGATGGCCCACTCGCATCAGGCTTGCCTGGGTTGCGGGGCTGAGGAGGGGCTGTGAGCACAGGCTTGGCCAAGGATGGGTGGCTCTAGCAGCTCCCCAGGAGTGCCATTCCCACTCTGCTCTGTGCAGCCTGTCATTCCACATGCTGCGGTGCCTGCTCTGTGTCTCTGGCCCTGTTGTGTATGAGTGTGAGACTTGGTTTGGGGGAAGGGGAGGCAAAGGGTTCTTTTCTTGGGGGGCGGGAGAGGTTACTCTTTGGGGTCTCTTAATGGGGGTTTCCCCATCAGCTCTCATTTCTTATGAGGCCCTTGTTCTAGACTCCAGAGCCTTGGCCCTTCCCAGATGTCTTCCTCCACTTTCCTATTGTCCCCCTATCCTAAATGCCACCCTCTAGTCCTTAGGGAGGGCAGTTTTGTAAAATAGAATTCCTTTTATGGAAAGACTCCTGTCCTAGATGTCCACAGGCATCTCATCCGTCATTCTTCCCTTCATTCCTCCCTGAGGTGAGCCTGTCCTCACAGGGGACACCCCAGGAGCCCCCTGCACCAGCCTCCCGATTCTTCTGAGTGTCTAGTCAGTCTTTACTGCAGTGTCAGCCAAAGCTGGCCCTGAACCACTGTGTGCCCATTTCCTAGGGAAGGGGAGGGAGAATAAACAGAATATTTATTACAAATGTTAGAAATATATTTATTATATTAGGAATCTCATTTGCATTTGCATAGATACACAAATGAGATGTCAAGGTTAAGGCTCTGGAATCTCATTTGCATAGCTCTGCACACACTATGCAGTCATCTTTGTACTCTTTCCCCCTTTAGTCGTGTCCTTTTCATCCTTGACTCAGCCTCCCTTGCAACACCCTCACCCTCTTCCTAAGGTGACTGGGAGTGGGAGGACAATGGGGTATTTTTCCTGAGGACTTGAGGCCCTGGAGTTATTTGCCAGTTCCCACCTCCCCTGGGGGGTCTGGAGGTGGAGGCAAGGAAGGATGTGCTTGGCAGCTGCCCCCTCACTGAAAGACCATGCCAGAGAGCTGGCCCCTGGCCCCTGGCCCCTTCCTGTGTGTCTCCTGTGCATGCTCAAGAGGCAGGGCTGGGTCCCTCCTCTGAAGCCTCCTACCACCCTTGATGAGCGCCCTGCTCCATGACTCTTTGGGACACCCAGCAGGTGGGAGCAGAGGCTGGGAGATCCTTGGTTCACCTGGCACAAGGCCAGGGTTGGGTTGGAACAGGTGTACATGTCCCCCAATTTAGCTCTGTGACTCTGTCCTGCCTCCTCCCATGTGGACTCTTGTGTTTGGGGAAGCTGAAGAGAATATAGACCCTGCCCCCCATGGTCCACACATCGTCCCAGCCCAGTTACCCTTCCTCTGTCCCCTCCCTCAACCATCCAATTCTCAAATTTTTCTCTCTGTTTTTCTTTCTTTTTTTCTTTGATTAAATGTGAAAGCAAATGCTTCTGGGCTCGTCAGTCTTTGGCTGGGGTTGGGTGGATGGCAGAAGGCGAGGGCTGGGAGCACAGCACAGAGGATTCCTGCCTCTGTCCATTCCCCAGAAGATGCTCCTTCTAAATGCTTGTGCCTGGGAGTCTGTGAGCATTCAGGGGGCCAAACGACTCAGGGACTCCATGGCTGGTCCATGTGGCTCTACTCAGAGGCTGTGTGCCCTTCAGCAGGCCCCTCTACCTCTCTGGTTCATCTTTTGTGAAGGTGCCATGGACTCCCAGCGGTAACACTAGAATTTGTCCCAGGTGCTGAACACAGGGACGAAGGTGACTGAAATGTCACCCAGTATGGCAAATCCATCAGGGCTGGGGGGGGGGGTGTCAGTATTCTTTCTGGGATGCTTCTCTTCTAATCATCATGGAGGATTCTCCAAGGAGGCTTTGGTTGCTTTTGTCTGTGATGGCAAAATGTGGATCCAGCCTCTCCTTGGATTTCTCCAAAGTACCACTCACACTGGGTCAAGGGTAGGGCCAACTTAGCTGGTGATTTGGGGGCAGCCATAGGGCCTTAGAACACCCACACCCACCTCAGCTCTGATGAGAATTTAGCATTGTTTATTAAACACCCCAATTCTGAAGTGCCCTGGCCCTTCCCAGCGCGAAGGATGTTTTCCTGGCCAAGCTTTCTCTTTGAGTCCCTTGCCTCCTGCCATGTTGCTGGGCCTTCCCCCTTTCTTCTCTGGTTCCTGGGTACCTTGTCTCCTAAGCTGCCCCTGGAAACTCCCTCTCTCTCTGTCTCTTTCTCCACTTTCCCATCCCCAAACCCTATGGCACTGGGGTTTGAACCCAAGGACACTTTACCACTGACCTACATTCCCAGTCCTTTGAAATTTTATTTTGAGACGGTTTCGCTAAGTTGCCAAGCTGGCCTCAGACCCGAGAACCTGGATTACAGGTGTGTGCCGCTGTGCCCAGCTCAATATTTGCTCAGCAACTCTACTGAGGACAGTTGCCTTTCTGTCCTAATCCAGTATTTCTCAACTCTGGCTGCACATTAGAATCACCTGGGACGTGGGTGGAAAAATATAAACCATTACAAGGGCCTCACCCCAGAAAAATTACATCAGAAGCTCAGGAATGGTTAACCATTGAAGCACCACATCACATCGTGACTCACAGCACCTCTCACTGTGCTAACAGTGACCGGGGGACCTAACTTCTTTCCATCTTGTGACACTGTCATCTTTAATGAGTGACTTCATAGTTCACAGGTGTCATAGAAGAGGAAGAGATTACAGAAGGCCACTCATAAATATTATGGGTTAGCCCTGTTTGTCCACACTCCATTGGCCAGAACTTAGTCACATGGCCCCAGGTTACCGCAAGGGAGGCCGGGAAATATAGTCTTTCCTTGTGCTCAGGAAATGGAAATAGGATCTTGCCAATCTCTGCTGGGGCTGAGAGTTGGAGACTGGGAAATGTTTTGTTTTAAAAGGTCCCCAAGTGGTTCAAATATGTAACAAGTTTGTTGAGCACTGTTAGTCCATTTGTGCCGGCCTCTCGGGGTAGGGGGAATTTGTTTGTATCTTCCAGTTGGCACGAAGGCCTTTTCCTAAAGATAGTTGAGTTTCTCAAAAAAGAATTTTACCAGTTTGTTTTTGTGTTTGAAAAATCCTTTCCCCATTTTGGTCCAGTAGCATGTGGTCAGTATGGCAGAATGGATTCTTATCATGTTGTAGTTGGGAATCTATAGAAAGCTGAAGAATTTTGTCCATTGTCATGTGGAAAGTTATTAGCAGAGCTGAAGCAGACCCTAGCTCTCCTGACTCTCAGTCAGGAGTGCTGGCCCCTATGCTGCCTTCCAGAGATGGATCCGGATTGACTAGCTTTTGGGGGAGCGATGCTTGGTAAAGAAGGCACTTTGGGGGCAAGAACATGGAGTAAAAGGGGAGCCATAAGGGAGGACATGAGATACTTTGTCATCCCCAAAGTTAGCTCTTCCAAGAGATCCAAGCTCTCTAAGAGGCCCATGGCACCAGTAATCTACAGTTCACCCTGGAGTCCCAGACCCCATCCCACCTTCCTCAGGGTTGGGTTTGGTGGTGACTACAGACCTCTGGAAGAGACAGGTGCAGACTGTGCAAGGTGCACGATCCAGCTTATTCCAAGGGTTTATTTATCTTGTTCTAATTGCCAATATCACAGTTTTGATTACTTAGAGGTTTCTCTCTCTCTCTCTCTCTCTCTCTCTCTCTCT